TGAATTGATTAAAAAAACAGTGCAAGACATAGAAAAGAAAATTTCAAACTTGCATGAAACAATAATAAATATATCCGGACATACTTTCAAAGTAAAACATAACATGTTATGTACAATGATTGATGGAAAAACAGCTCAATCGCTCACTGACACAAAATCATCATCAACTTGTTACATTTGTAAAGCGACTCCTCGAGAGATGAATAATCTTAATCGAATTCATCAAAAATCTTATGACGACAATGTTTTAAAACTCGGCTTATCTCCTCTACATGCGCGTATAAAATTTATGAAATGCATTCTTCATGTCGCTTACAATCTGTCTTTTAAAAAATGGTCAGTTACGAAAGAAACAAAAATTGAAAAAGAAAACAAAAAGAAAATCCAAAAAAAATTTCAATTTTAAACTGGTCTTAGAATAGATACGGTGCGTCAAGGCTGTGGAAATACAAATAATGGCAATACTTCGCGCCGTTTTTTTTCCCAGCCGAAGGTAACAGCAGAAATCACAGGAATAAACGAAAATTTAATTAAGCGTTTCTCAGTAATACTGGAAGTTATTACTTGCAGTGCTGTTATTGATTGAATATATGCCGAAAAAATTTGGCATATATTCTTATGATATTGCAAAAATGTTTGTTGACTTGTATGGCTAGTATTACATGCCAGTAAGTGTTCACAAAGTTCTTCTTTATGGCGAAAAAATTATTACTGCAGCAGTGCTTCCTATTAGTTTATTATCTAAAGAAGCACAAGAAGCTCGCAACAAAGATTATAAAAAATATCGAATTTATCATTCAAGAAAAATTAGTCGTTTAACTACAAGCGAAGATGTGTTGCATTAATTATTAATCTCATCTGATCCATATTTATTCAGTTTGCGAAAAGAACCAGCAAAAAGTATTTTACCATTAAGTAAAGATGCGAAATCTCTTTTCCAAGACAAATCTGAAAAACCTGACTAATTATTTATTTAAAAAATTATTCTTATTATTTTTGCAATAATATAATAATTAAAAATTTAATAAATTTTTATTGATAAATCACTATCTTTAAGTTAAAAAAATAATTATGACTATCTATTGGAATTAAAAAGTTACATAATTTTTTCTGAAAGTATGCGTTCTAGCACCACTGTGCGGCGGGGCGGGTCTCCCTCTGGCCGGTCGGTGACGTGCGCCGAGCGGGCCAGTGTCTTTTTGGGGGCCCGTGAGGCGTGCGCGCCAATTTGTGTGCGGAGGTCCGGGACAACAACGCGGAAGTCTTAGGCCAAGGTGGAAAGCATCGTGCCGAGGGCGGAATGATCGCAGAGACTATAAAAATGTGCGGTCGCAAACGATCCCTGTGGAGCACCTGGCGCAACCCCATAGTATATTAGTCGCCTTACCCCGGCAAGAAGACTCTGCCGGGGCTTTTGTTTCCTGCCACACTCGTGGGACAAGCAATGAAGACAATTACAAACAAAAACAAAAACATAAAGTGGGACGAATCTAACGACGACGACAATGATATTCAAAAAGGAATCGAGAGGGCACTGACGGAAACGCAAGGTGAGAGGGGCCCAATGGCCAGCCAGGCAACTGCGGCCGACAAAATGGGCGTTGGACGACTGCAGCGCGGCGAAAGGACGGTATCGCATAGCAGGAATTCCTCGCCCGCTAGCGCAAAAACAAAGGGGAGAGAGGTATTTTCCTCCTCGAGTGGCGGGGAGGAGAGTGCCACCTTCCAAACCCCAAGGGGCAAACTGGGAGGGACGGTGGGTGGAAATATCTCAGGGAGATCGATGTCGAGCGGCACGGAGAGGGGAAGAGTCGCGAGGAAGGGGGAAGAAAGGCCAAAAAAGCTTAGGAAGAAGGGCAGGGCCACTCAGGATAGGGACCTCTTTGAGAGGTACAGTCGGCTCCTCAATGAGGTCAAAGTCCTCAGAGAGGAGAACGTGAGGCTCAGGGAGGATTTGGAGAGACTGAGGAGGAAGAGAACATCACCCCCTCCTTCTCCTGCTCCCGGCCCACCACCCCTCAGCCCGGTGCTGGGATCTATGAGGAGGGCGGCCGAGAGAGTGCAGGAGAAGGGATCCCCCCGACCGTCCGCGTGGGACCAGGCGGCGGGACAAACCTTGGCACGGAGGAGAGACGTCCTTTCCTCCCCCATTACGGTGGCGGGGGGAAAAATACTGAGGAGGTTGCCAGAGTTGCTGGAGGAGCTAATCCCAGCAATCCTGGCAAGGTTGGGGCTTATTCCCCCAGGGTACACGACAGGGAGGGAGTCTTCTCCTCCTAAAGAGGGGAGGGAGAAGGAACAGGGGAAAAAGACCATGGCCGTTCCCTCTTTCTCCACCACCCCCTCAAAGGAAACCCCGGGTCCCCGTGGGACCGGAGGAAAGGCGCCACCCGCTGCCGCCTCCGTTAAACAAGGAGCTACAAGGGACGGGGGAGCCTCCCCCCCCCGCAGGCTCAGAACGTACGGGCCCGACCCACCACCCAGATATGGGCAAAGGTGATGGGGAAGAAAGAGAGGAAGGAAAAGGAGAAGGCTGCCCAATTAACCAAAGGGCAGGAAGGTAGGAAGGATCCGGCCAAACCGACGCCCCCAATGCCCCTAAAACCCGGAGACCCTCCAAGACGGCGGCGATTACAATCACCTGTCCGTTGGGAGATTACTTCGGGGTGATGAGGAAGGCGAGGAGCAAAGTCTCCCTCAAAGATTTGGGGATTGGGGATCTGAGGGCTGGGAAAGCCAGGACGGGCGTCACCATCCTGGAGATCCCGGGCCCAGAGGGCGGCAAAAAAACCGACTTATTGCCGAGGCCCTTAAAAAGGTTTTTAGGGGGCGGGAGGATTCGATTAGGGTCGTAAGACTCGTTAAAAAAGGGGAGTTACAGATCCGCGACCTCGACGAATCAGTCGAACTGAATGAGGTCGCGGAAACCGTGGCCGAGATGGGGGGATGCCCTCCCTCACTCATAAGAGTGGGATCCATCCGGCCCTCCCCAAATAGTATGGGCGCGGCCTGGGTGCAATGCCCTCTCTCCGCGGCGATTAAGGTCGCGGAGGTGGGCCGCATTCAGGTCGGCTGGGCAAAGGTAAGAACCTCTATGCTTGATGAGAGGTCCTTACAATGCTACCGGTGCCTCGAGAAGGGGCATGTACGTGCGAATTGTACGGGCCCGGTAGATAGAAGTGGGAGCTGCTAGAGGTGCGGCTCGACTGGGCACCAGGCACGGGAATGTGCAGCCCCGATGAGCTGCCCTGTATGCAGGGAAAAGGGGCTCCCCCACATCCATAGAGTGGGGGGTCCCGCGTGTAGGGCTTCCAGGCTTAGAGGACAGGCGGAAAGGAGGGGTGCTAATGCGGGCAGGGCTTCAGCCTTCGTGCCCGCCCAAAAGGCACCAAGAAAGGACATAGCAGCGAGAAGAGGAGAGGACGGGCGCGGCCTCGCCCCCGCGTCCGCCCCTTCCGTAAGAGCTGCGGAGAAGATGGAGGTAGAGGAAGCGGGTACTCCGGGCGCGGCCCTTGGCTCCCGACCGCCCCCGCTGAAACGGTGATAGAGGAGGCGGACACATCAGGCGCGGCTTTGACCCCCGCGCCCGCCCGAAATCAGTCGCGGAGGCGACGTCAGAAGAGGAGACCCCCTGGATAAAGCCGAAAGAGGAGAGGCCCAGGGGGGATTTTGAGCAGCGTGGCATTGGCAAAATTAAACCAACACCGACGGAGTCGGAGGTGATTAGCCTGGAGAATTCCGATTAGGACTGGCCATCTTTAAGGATACTCCAGACTAACGTGAACCACTCCGCCATGCCACAGGATCTTTTCCTACAAACCATGGCGGAGGGTGGGTCCGAATTGGGGGTGGCCTCGGAGCCCTACTGGACGCCGAAAGACCACCCTCAATGGATGACGGACCCCACTGGAGAGGGGGTCGCCATACACTGGCGGTCCTCCGAGAACTCCCCCCCCGTGCTCCCTGTTTGGGGCCGGGATGGAGTACGTGGCGGTAGGGGGAATACGTTCTCTTTGGGTGCTACGCCCCACCGGGATGGAAACCCCCCTTTTTTAAGATCTTTCTGTCGGGGCTGGGGGACTGTATTCGTCGATGCTTCCCCCGGCCCCCCATAGTCGCGGAAAATTTCAACGCCTGGTCGGTGTTATGGAATTCTTCGCAAACCGAAAGAAAGGGGGGGGAATGGGGGATTAGGCGGCGGCTCGGCCTGTGTCTTTTTTAACACAGGCTCGAGGAGCACCTGCGTGCGTACCCGAGGGGAGTCCATCGTGGATCTCACGTGGGCTTCTCCGTCGGCCGCGCGCAGGTTAACGGGATGGAGGGTGGAAGAAGACCTTGATTCGGGGTCCGATCACCGCTACATCGTGACCCCCACCGGGACGCTCGGCCGTCGCTCGGCCGTCGCCGGCGTAGCACCCAGAGGAAAGGATGGGTCTTCCGTAAGATGAGAACGTCCTGATGGCAGTCATTTTGGCGGAATCCTGGCCGATGCCATCCGGTCAGACGTAAACGTAGAACAGGAAGCCACGAGGATCGTTGACATGGTTGTGGACGCGTGTGACGCGTCCATGCCACAATCTAGATGGTCTCCCAAAAAGGTGATGCACTGGTGGACCGAGGAGATCGCCGAGCTTAGGCGTCTCTCCTCGGCCGCCAGGTGCAGATTCTTGCGGAAACGCAGAAGCAGGGACCACGCCGAAACGACTGAAGCTCTGGAGGGGTTTCGTACCGCGCGAAACGCCCTCCGAGCCGCCATCGGGACAGCAAAGGCCAGGGCCTGAGAGGAGTTGATCTCCACCCTGGACCGGGATCCGTGGGGGCGGCTCTTCAAAATAGTTTTTAAGAAGTTGAGACCAAGGGCGCCCCCGATTGCGGAGAGGCTCAAGCCGGAACTTTTCGGGAACATAGTGGACATACTGTTCCCAGTGGGGGGAACTATCATCCCTCCCCCCACGATAGGGGAGGTGTGGCCCGAGGAGCCGGCAGTCTCTGCAGAAGAGATGTCCGCAGTGCGGGCCAGGCTTGGCGGAGCAGCCAAGGTGCCTGGACCCGACGGAATTCCCGGCAGGACATGGGCCCTGGCGACGAGGGTGTTGGGCGACCGGCTAGGGCGGCTGTTTACCGCCTGCCTCAAGACCGGCGCCTTCCCCTCGCGGTGGAGGAGAATCAATCTGGTCCTCCTCCACAAAGATGGCAAGCCGCCGGAGCAACCCACCGCATACCGGCCTATATGCCTGCTGGACGAGGCGGGAAAGCTCTATGAGCGAGTGATAATGGGGCGTCTCGTTCGGCACCTGTCTCGGGGGGGTCCCACGTTAAGTGATACGACAGCACGGCTTCCGGGAGGGACGGTCTACCGTGGATGCAATACGCCACGTCCGCTTCTTCTTGGAAACCGTAGTGGAGGGGTGGGAGGTGGCACTTGCGGTATCGCTTGATATCGTGAACGCCTTCAACTCCCTCCCCTGGGACTGTCTAGGGGCAGCATTTCAACACTTTCAGCTGCCCCCGTACCTTCGGGCAGTCCTGTGGGACTACCTTCGGGGCAGGACGTTTGCATATAGAGACGGGACAGACGAGGTATGCGAGAGGAGGATGTACCGCGGGGTTCCACAGGGGTCTGTTTTGGGCCCGATGCTATAGAACCTCGGGTACGACGTAGTGCTCCGGGCGGCTCTTCCTCCGGGCTGTGACGTCATCTGTTACGCCGACAACACATTAGTCATGGCCCTAGGGAAAGACTGGAGAGAAGCGGCTGTTGCAACCGCAGCCGTGGCTAGCGTAGTGCGCGCAATACGGGACCTACAGTTAGAGGTGGCTATTCAGAAGACGGAGGCCCTGTTCTTCTACAGGAAGGCAGCAGGAAGACTACCCTCGACATACATCAACGTCGGAGGATCCCGTATCCTTGTAAAGTCTAAGATAAAAATCTCTGGAAATATCTGGGCCTCACCCTGGATAGACTCTGGGAGTTCACACAGCATTTTGATGCTCTCGCTCCCAGAGTGGACAGGATGGCAAACGCATTGTGTCGCCTCCTGCCCAATCTCGGCGGTCCAGGTGCCAAGGTGCGGCACCTATACACGAACACCGTCCGGTCGGTGTCCTTTTACGGGGCACCGATTTGGACAAATGACCTGATGGCCAATAAACGCGCTAGTGCCTTGGTTCAAAAGGCTGATAGGCGCATGGCCATCAGGGTCGCCCGCTGTTACCGGACAGTTTTGTACGTGGCGTCCACGACCCTGGCGGGGATGCCCCCGTTTAATCTGGTCGCTGCTGTACGCGCCGAGGTTTATCGGTGCGCGGTTAAGATCGGACGGAGCGGCATTTCCCCGGAAACCATCCCCAGGGAAGTGGAGAAGAAGAAGGTGAGGGCCCGGAGATGGGCGCTCAGAGTGGCAACACCGACTGGGCGAACACAATACTCCGGGTCTTCCAGGACTGCGGACCGTTGAGGCCATCCAGCCCTGCCTACAGGAGTAGGTAGGCAGGAGGGGAGGCGGAATATCGTTCCGTCTGGCGCAGGTTTTCACCGGACATGGATGTTTCGGTGACTATTTGTGCTGAATTGGTAAGGAGCGCACTACGCGGTGCCACCATTGCGCGGCTGACTCGGGACTCGGCGCGGCACACACTTGAGAAGTGCCCAGCGTGGGCCGTAGAGCGTCGGGCCTTGGTCGAAATGGTGGGCAAAGACCTCTCTTTCCCTTCCCTGGTTAGGGAGATGTTGGAGGGAGAGAAGGTGTGAGAGGCAATCTCCTCCTTCTGTGAGATGGTAATGTCTCGGAAGGAGGCTGAGAGAAGGGGGGAGGGAGACACGACCTCTTCTCAGAGAAGGAAGAAGAGGGGTCAAGAAGGAGTCAGTCAAGGCCACGCCCTCCGCGTCCAGGCGCGAACAACGCGCCGCGACAGGGCCGGAGGGAGATGGGAGAACTTAGCGACCTTTCTCTCTTTCAGTGGCTGGCTCCGGGGGGGGGGTGGTCCACTGGGACCCCCTTCGGGGCAAGAGGTACACGGTTTCCTCGCTAGAGGGACCGTGAGGAGCCCAGCAACTCCTGTAGGGCCGAGTCTCAATCGCTGGTAGGAGACGGAGACTCTGATTCCAAACCCCCGGGTGCCTGGACCCGTTAGACGTGTTATTCACGGCACCAGGATAGAGGAGTAAACCTCGATAAAAAATCCGAGACCTAGCCAGTCTCGTATAGCGAGCACGCCGGTGCTCCGGCATGACGGCTGGTCCGCCATTGCACGAGGAGGGGCGTGGCGACTTACACCGTAACCCCAAGTATGGGACCGGGGCCGATGCTTCGCACGGGCCGCGAGGGTGAGAAACCTCTATAAAGAGATCCGAGCAGGATTGGCTCGTTAGTCTTGGTTGACAACCGTCCTAGTGGAAAGAAAATCACAATAAAACACCCGGAGAAGACAACTTTGTTAACAAATTATAAAGGATAAAATCTGCATGTCGGACCTAGGAAGAAACGTACTCTCCTCGTCGTGCGCCACCTTGTCGTGGTGAGGGGGCTCACCGTGGGATGGCTCGCTGGAGTCGTTTCACGGTGTTAAGAGCGCACAGTTCCTTCTTCGAAGAAACAAGGGAACGGGGGTCCGGCGACCCTTATGGGACTCGTCCCGATTCGCCGGTAGGGGTTGGCGGCCCTGACTGCAATCGCCCGGATGCCTCGATCCGTTAGGAGTGTTTTTCACTCTACCGAGATAGAGGAGTAAACCTCGAGAAAAAATCCGAGGCCTGACCAACCTCGTTAGCACGACGGTGTTCCGGCATAACAGTCGGCCTCCCATGGCACGTGGAGGGGCGTGACGTCTCATACCGTAACCCCATGTCTGGGGCCGGGGGCCGGTGCTAGCTTTGCTAGGACGGGCTGCGAGGGTGGTAAAACCTCTATAAAAAGACCCGGGCTGGTCGAGCTCGTGAGCCATGGTAGGCCGCCGACCTAGGAGAAGAAACTCCGATAAAAAACCATAGGATTGGTGGGGGGGAGATGCGCTGCTCTCCTCCCCAGTTGTACCCGGACTCGGTGCATTCGGCCGGGGGTCGTCCCTCCCCGTGCTCGCGCGATCATCATTCACACACACAGACATTCATACACATATTCTTGATCCCCGTACTGTCTGGGCGCCTCTGCTGTCGCAAAGATGCCCGGAAGTCGGGGACCATGCATGCACTCGGCGGGGGGCTTCCGCGCATTGTGGTGATGCGTGGGACGCCATTTCCCGCGTTGCATACACTCACACATTCACTCATCTAGCACACACATACACACACCATTTTCACACACTCATACACTACTCACCTCATTCACGCCCGCCCGGGTGGGGACTTGTGGTCCGCCTTTGCGGGCCGGCATGTGGTGGTGAAGGGGCGGCGACTGCGTCGGGACGCGTTCCTCGGGGGAGTATTCTCGCATTCCGCCCGGGGGCGCGCTTTCGGGGCACGCCGTTGTTCTTGACCCGCCGCATGTTGGGCCTTATGCGGGCGGGTGGCGGAGCAGGTCTCCCCGCTGGCCGGTCGGTGGCGTGCGCCGAGCGGGCCAGTCGCTTTTTTGGGGGTCCGTGAAGCGTGCGCGCCGATTGATGCTGTGAGTCCGGGACAACAGCGCGGAAGTCTCAAGCCAAGGTAAAAGGCATCGTGCCGAGGGCTGAATGGCCGCAGAGACTATAAAAAAGTGCGGTTGCAAACGATCCCTGTGGGGCACCTGGCGCAACCCCAGTATTTTAGTCGCCTTATCCCGGCAAAGAGGCTCTGCCGGGATGGACTGATTGTTTCCTATCAAATTCGTCGGACTAAAATAGAGACAAAACAAAATACAAAAACAAACACAAGGGACGGATTAAACAATGACGAGCTATACAATCGGGTACTAAGTTGGCATTGCCCGAAATACAAGAAGGAAGGGGTACAGGAGCTGGACGGGACGTAGTCGCCGACAGAACTATCGTCGGTCGACTGCGGAGCGACATTAGGATGTCCAGGACTAGCGGAAATTCCTCTCCCGTTAGTACAAAAAAGAAGGCCAGGGGAGCGGTCTCCTCCTCAAGCGATTGCGAGGATGAAGACGCCCTCTTTGGAACCCCGAGGAGAAGAATAACGGGACTACCCGGAGAGGGAGTAGGGATAACGCCCCCGAATGAAGGAGTGGCTGAAGACGGAGCCGAAAAAAGGCCGAAAAAAGCCAGAAGAAGGGGAGTGGCTACCCCGGAGAGGGACCTCCTCCTCCTGAGAAAACAGAAGAAGCTCCGGAAGGAAGTTGATGAACTCCGGATGGAAAACCAGAGGTTGAGGAAGGAGATGGAGGAACTGAGGGGGAGGATTCCACTCTCTCCTCCTATCCCTACCCCGGCTATCGGTCCGCCTCCCATCAACCCAGTGCTGGGCTCGATGAGGAGAGTGGCCGGGATGGGGGAGGAGAAGGGGTCACCCCGACCGCCCGCGCAGGACCGGACGGCGGGGCAACCCAGAAGGGAAACAGAAAACGTACCTCCCCCCCTACCACTGGGGGAGAGGAGATCTGGAGGATGTTGCCGAGACTGCTTAAAGAGCTAATACCGGCAATCTTTGCTAGGCTGGGATATGTCCCACCCCCGGTCCCACCTCACAACAGCAGGGAAGGAGTTCCCCCCCTCCCCGAAGAAGAGGAGGAAGAGGGGTGAGAAGGGGAAAAAGGCCCATGGCCGTTCCCCCCTCCCTCCACCACCCCCTCTAAAGAAACCCCACGTCGGACTGGGGGAGGACCGGCTGCGGCCCCTGCGAAACCACCGGCCACACGGGAGGGGAGGCCCCCTCCGCAGCAGCAGCAGCGGAATATACCAACCTCTCTCGCCGCCAACCCCAGCTTTGCTGAGGTGGTGGAGAAGAGGAAAAGGACGAGAATGGCACAGGCGGCCAAGATGAAGCCCACTGGAGGACCACAGGAGGGAAAGGACCCGGCCAAAACCGCCCCCTCGACGATCCAAAAGATCCGGAGACTCCCCAGCATGGCGGCGATTACCGTCACGTGCTCGCAGGGGGAATATACCCGGATCATGAGGGAGGCGAAAGGCAGGATTGACCTCAACGATCTTGGGATCGGACATGAAGCTTGGGAAAGCCAGGACGGGGGCCACCCGCCTGGAAATACCGAGCCCAAATAGTGAAAAGAAAGCCGATGCCCTGGCCGAGGCCCTAAATAAGGTTTTCCAAGGGAGGGAAAGCATAAGGGTGGTTAGGCCCTCTAAAACGGGGGAGTTGCGGTTACGCGACCTTGACGAATCATTGGACACGGTAGAAATCGCGGCTGCAGTAGCCGGGGTGGGCTGTTGCCCCCCCCAAACAGGTCAAGGTTGGACCCATCAGGCTCTCCGTGGGGGGAAATGGAATGGGCATAGCCTGCGTGCAGTGCTCCCTCAACGCGGCAATCAAAGTCGCGAGAGAGGGCCGCATCAAGGTAGGGTGGGCAATTGTGGAGGTCTCTTTGCTAAATGAGAGACCCTTACAGTGTTATAAATGCTTGGAGACAGGCCACGTGCGGGTTAAATGCACGAGCACGTCTGATAGGAATAATGCCTGCTACAGGTGCGGCTCGACGGGACATGTCGCGAGAGACTGTGAGGCCCCCGTGAGCTGCCCTGTATGTAGGGATAAGGGGCTCCCTCACATACATAGAGTGGGGGGCCCTGCTTGTAAGGCCCCCAAAAATAGGGGAAATATGGGAAGGGTTGCCACCGTGGGTGCGGCCTTGGCCCCCGCGCCCATCCCTAAGTCACCCAAGCCCATGGGGAAGAGGACGAAGAAGGAGGAGAAGACGGGCGCGGCCTTAACCCCCGCGTCCGCTCCGGTCTTTCCTATCACGATGGAGGTGGAAAAAGCGGGACAACCGGGCGTGGCCTTGACACCTACGCCCACTCCTACTCCCGATATGGAAGTGGAAGAGGCGGGATCATCGGGTGTAGCGTCGGCCCCGGTGTCCGACCCCGCAGACGAGATGGAAGAGGAGGGGTCAGCGAGCGCGGCTTGAGACCCCGCGTCCGCCCCCGTATGTGCGGTTAAAGAGGAGGCGGGAATAACGGGCGTGACTTTAACAACTACGCCCGCCCGTAATACAGCCGCGAGGGCATTACGGGAGGATGATCCCTTCCCTGGCTCGAGGTGCTTGACCAGAGACCAGCAAGGAACTTTGTGCGGTGTGGTGATAAACACCGGAAATAAGGAGGCTGAGGTTGATCTCACGGGGGATTCTGAGTAGGACCATTCCCGCTTACCAGGATCCTCCAGGTGAACGCGAACCACTGCGCCATGGCCATGGACTTATTCCATCAGACCATGGCGGAGGGTGGGTTCAAATTGGGGGTGGTCTCGGAGCCTTACCGGATTCCGGAGGACCACCCCAATTGGTTTACGGACCCAACGAGGGAAAGGGCCGCCATTTTTTGGCGACCCCCCAAGGACTCTCGCCCGTGCTTCAAGTTTGGAGCCGGGCCTGGATTCGTGACGGTTGAGTGGGGGGAGTAGTGTATCCTAGGGTGTTACGCCCCACCTAGTTGGAAACTCCCTTTCTTCAAGACCTTCCTGTCGGAGCTGGGGGACTGCATACGCAAATGCCTCCCCCGGCCCACTATAGTCGCGGGGGACTTCAATGCGTGGTCTAAGCTATGGGGTTTCTCGCGAACCGACGAGAAAGGAGGGCAGATGGTGGATTGGGCGGCGGCACTCGGCCTGTGCGTGTTAAACACAGGTTCGAGGAGCACTTGCGTGCGTACCCGGGGGGAGTTCATCGTGGATCTCACGTGGGTTTCTCCGTCGGCCACGCGCAGAATCACGGGTTGGTGGGTGAAAGACCTTGACTCGAGGTCCGATCACAGGTATATTGTGATCGAGGCCTCGACCACTCCCACCGGACAGCTCAGCCGTCGTCGGCGTGGCACCCGTAAAGCATGGGTCCTCAGAAAGATGAATGAGGACATCCTGATGGCGGACATTCTGGTGGAATCCTGGCCGAGGCCATCCGGCCAGGCTGTGGACCGCGTGTGAGGCGTCCATGTCACGATCAAAATGGTCCCCCGGCAAGGCTATGCACTGGTGGACCGAGGAGATTGCCGAGCTTAGGCGTCTCTCCTCGGCCGCCAGCCGCACATTCCTGCGCGCGCGCAGAAGAAGGAAGGATCACA